TACATTTTAGAGTACCTAACTGATGTGTAACACCGTGTGCTCAGTGCTCGAGATATTATTCGCAGATTTGAATTGTTATATGACGATAACTTTCTGTTTTTTTAGCTTCGACGTTTGTTTTTTTTTTACGACAGCAATGTTAACGACTGAAACATTGACGTTTACGATTACCTGTTTATATAGCGAACGAACTGAAAAAAAATGTATACTTAACATTGTTATAAAAGACACATATATATACATGTGCGGTGCTTAGGTATTCCGATGAACGGCCTGTGCTCGACTATATTTCTTCGGGGTAACATTTTCTGGTCGAATTATCGTCAAAACGTGCCTGGGCTCGAATAAGGTCGGCGACAAAAATACAATTAAAAAACACTTGAGCGAGTTAAACAGTAACAATAATAATAATTATTACGGTTATTATATTTATTGCGGACCGGCGACGTTGCACCCAGTATACAACATGTTAAAATAATTTAATAGACTTTATTGCTGCAAATGTGCTCGAAACCCGGCAAGGAACGGTCTATTTAGACCAATGACTTCCCGATAATATATACAGTGTATATCAATATAATTAATTAACTGTGAATCAAATAACATATGAGATATGGTTTTTTAGTCATTAAAAAATGTATTATTATAGATAGTACTATTTATATTAGTTTTATTTTATCGCGTATTTTAACAATAAACATTTGATTTCTTTTGGCGGCACAATTTAATCAAATAGCTGTATTTAATCGATTGCATTTTTGCAGAGATATTTTTCGTTTAAGCAATTTAGTTTTTTGTTTTTTTATTGTACATTTAAACACCGAACACCATTACCTCTATAATATTCTGGCTATAATCCAAAGCTTAAATAGAGAAAATTCTATTTCCAGTGGAATATTAGATAAATCATTTTAATATTGCATATTATTATTAGTTATGAACGTCTCAATAGAGTTTCTTTTAGAAATTCGCTATCAAATAAATAAATTCCTTGATAGCAAAAATGATGCGTCATTAGAGTTTATTTTTTAAATTAAACGATTTTTAACGATAACCTCTTTGACCCGTGGAAATTACTGTTTATTTAACATATTTAATTTATCTAATAAATAAAAACAATCAAATGACTACCACTATTCTATAACAGCAAAAATCGCTAATGCATTGTTTGAAAATGATAATAATAATATAAAATATCAAATTATTATTATTATTTTTTGTGCTTTAAAAATATTTTATAGAGATAAGACTTAGATTAGCATCTAAAATTGTAGGATAACGTGAAATATAGAAAATACAGACTGAATCAAATGTGCTAACGTTTTGTATCATATTACGGGTGTAGTGCTTTAATCGATATGTAAGCTGATAACAATAAAGAACTCTTATAGTTATGATTAGACATAACCACAATGATTTATAATATAATTTAGGTATTTAACAATTTTTTTTTTTGTGTAGGTGTACGGCTTAATAGGAGTAAGAAATGTGGACGACTTGTTTACTGCATAGGCAAAAGTGTATTTTGCATATTTTAGATATCAGAGCTTATTTGTAGAATTTCGCATATTATAAAATATATTTGGTAGTATATACATACCATTTTAATTACTACATTTATCGCTAAAAAAATCATTAGAGAAGTCATTTTTTAAGTTATTGCTTAGTCTTTTTTTATTATTCATAAGAAAACTGTATACAATAATTCTTATTGATATAATTAGTGTTTCTTTATTATATACTGTATGATGTCATAATTTTTTTTTTTAAGTATGAAGTTGAATTATATAAATTTGTCGGATACAAAAGACTAAAATTCTTGCTCTTGAACGTCGTCAAATTGTTTAAACACACATTCTAACGTTATACATTTTGAAACTTGCGTCGTCTCTATAAAATTATAAAAAAATGCACTTATGTCTTATCTGTGTGTTATATATCATAGTATATATATATATATATATATATATATATTGCATCGACATAGTTTATTCATAATTTCAGGCCTAAAATATCCTAGGACATTGGCGAGCTAGGAGTATTAATTATTGGACAAACTTTTCGAATTCTTCAAACACCGTTTTAACTTCAAAGACGATAGAGTCAACACGCTGAGATTGGAAATTAGCCAGATTTCTGTTTGATAAAACTTAACCGACGTTGTTTACATTTTATTATTTTGATAGAAATTTAACATATTAGTCGATACATTTTGAACTGCGGGACAATATTTTGGCGCCAACCTAATTCATCGAACAGCACCAACCTGTTTGTTGTTGGTAATGGTTTTATTTTAAGTGGTTTGAAACGGAATTGTTTTTTATGGTGTATAATAGCATTCTACTAAGGTCGTGCGACATTACCGAGCGAGGATAGACTGTAGGACATTACTCTCACGTCATCTTACTTGATCCGCACTTGTGTTATGTACTGTATAGAGCGGTCTGGCTGTGCATATACTCGTATTATAAATAAAAATACATATATTGTTCTGCTGGTCGTCTTTAAGATTTTGGTAATTTTGTTTTCATCGCCCTTCCTTTAGATTATGACAACAATCTAAAGATGGTGTCTATGGTCGCATAATACTGAAATATAAACGAGACACAAAACTTGGAAAATCCTGACTGTTTGTATGTGTTCCGTGCACTTTAAACTACTTTGTAAGGGACAAAACCGAGTAATAACTATAATAGATAAAAAGTTACGAAAATTAGTAACTTTGGAACTTTTACGTTGATTTTTCCCCATTAATCACATGAAAATTGACATATTACTTATTCTTAAAAAGTACAACGTTACTTACATAACGTTATTTGTTTTTAATAGAACACGAGTTTCAAAAAAATGTTTACATGTCTTTTTTTTGGGGGCTGTATCTGTTTTTTCAGATAATTTTTTCTACGATATGGTACGACCAACATTCTAAATGCAAAGTGAGGAAAGTGCAACGATATTGAGCAAGTGCAAATGCAACATTTTCGATAGAAATTCTAGGAGCTGATATTTTGCTGCAAGTGACTTGTTTCTAAATTCACAAGTTACTTACATGAAGTAGCCTGTCTGCTACGGTAGAAGTCACCACATTGCCAATTGTGGATATTATAAAACTGTTTGTAAAGTTTAAATAAAAAGACAGCTGCAGCCGGTATCTACCTTAATGTATCCAATTACTTCGAACATGCCTTTTGGCGCTTTATACTGTTCGACGGATATGTTTTTGCCGTTACAATGCCATTGATGAATGATAATAATGATAATGATGATGAAAGTAATTGTTATTCTATTATTATTTTCATTTCTGCTATCATTATAATAAAAAAATATATATATTAATAATGTGTAACCCATAGACCTTTACTCCTAAACTAAATACATTGATAGCCGCGAGCCGACATAGCGCAGTGATGGAGGCTGCCTATGGAACAGTGCTACCATAAAACCGTGTGTTCAATATAATGAAAAATATTGTGCATTGATTTAAAATGAAATATATTTTATGTTTATAAAATAAACGAAGACTACCTATTTAATATTATTAATAATTATTTCTTTATAAACAAATATTGAACATTTGAAATTATTAAATTGTTTTTATCTCATTCTGATTACGAGATATTTTTCAATCGATATAATTATTAAAACGTATTAAATCAGGAATAAAACAATTGTTTTCGATGGAATACTCAATTTTTTTCCAATGAAAACTGTTAATTTTACTTGTATTTTAAGCGGGAAAATAATTCTACCCATTTGCTTGAAATTTTCAATCTAAAGGGTTCCGGTGCCTGATCGTTTTTTTCCACAAAAACATTCCTTAGAGTTTGCGCTCCTAGAGTTTTCGGATATTATTATTATTTTTTTTTAGGTCGAATTAATTTCCGACTTTCAAAAATTCAATTTCCATATACTGTAATAACTCTCTGAGTATTTTATCTTGATTTTTTGTCATTTTAGGTATTTTATTTAACAGTTGAAGGTCACTTTGTCTTCTTTTTACAAAAAAATAATAAAATTCTCTCTGGGAGGCATTATCCATGTTCTCGCCCAGTCATAGTTTTTGCAGTATTGAATTTGAAGCTTTTTAACGGCGAGGGCGTATTGTTTTTAGTTCTCTATTTAACACTTTCGGTAATAGTGATGATACCTATATAATAGGACTTTTACTTTTTTTGGGTTTTTACATTACGGATATTATGTTATTATTATTTTTTTTAAATGTTAAATTTTTATTTAGTTAAATATTCACGACTGAAAAGGTCAATAGGAAATAATAGTTTAAATTTAGTATTGAGTGTTTTTAAAATATTGTGTATTTGTATTTTTCATTGTAGATATGTCTGAATAGACTGTAATTTCAGTGCTACACTACCAACCGTGATGTTATTTGTAAAATACTATAATTTTAATTTAAGTGTTTTGTTCTTTAGAACGGTGCGGACAATCATCCCTAGTGTCACCCCTGTCCGTATTCGCCCTCGGCAATAAATTGACATGCACGGAAATAACTATATAGTTGGGACAACCATAATTATGGTTAATATTGGACACAATAAATATTTTAGTTGGAACAACTAAATAAACAGTTGGACCAACTATATTTATAGTAAATACAACTAAACATTTAGTTATTCCGACTAGAATATTTATTGAGTCTTATATTGACCATAATTATGGTTGTACCAACTATATAGTTTTTTCCGTGTGGGCGTAATTTGCTAAAAAAAAAAAAATAACAGAAATGTTCGTCAAATTTGGCTACGAAATATAATACAGTCGGAGGCCGTGTCCTATACCAGCTCAATGAGTAACCTAACCGGTACCCGTTGAGCGATGATGATGATTTCTATATGTTATACATACATATTTACTACAACAACTAACAATATGTGCAAGTGTGAGGTGCGCAGATGATTTTGGCGCACTGTAGGCGGCGGCGAGTACGCGAAAATCTTGAGGCGGACACGAGGCACGCTTTTACCGCGCAAAGCCGCGTTCGTCCGTTGCCGGCAACCGCGTGCCACGCTTACCGTCGTCGCCGTTTGTGCGTGCATGTGCTCGGTGTACCATACAGAAAATAATATTAATAATAATAATTTTCGATATTATAAAGGAAGAGTAGAAAGACAAAAAAAAGAAACCTTTAAAAATCCATACGCAGACAACAGTTTTTCGATGACGGGCAAGAAGGCGCCGGAGCTTTAACCGTCGCCGGTAGAATACGAAAAATAGCCACCAATGACCGTGAGTCTCATTTATAAATTCATCTATTAATCTGTATATGTATGTGTGTATAACATAGTATGAAATGCCCATTACCGTCCCAGTCGCGACGATACACTACCGGCTCGTGTCGAATGTGTCTCCTGATTGTCAAGGGAAACAATAAGGAATGAAATGTATATGTTGAGAGGGATGTACACTAGCGGGTCTTAGGGTGGACCTCTGGAAACTCGTACCGAAGCCGGATGACATTAATACATTTTGTTCCGTGTTTAGTTTGTAACTATTGGATAATATTACCTACGAAATGTCTGTGAGAATATTAACTTAAATGCCTGTACGAATATATACGTCACCGTTCGCTAGGAAGTTGATCAGGAACAGGAGGCAGGTTATTGTGGAAAAATAAATTGCAGTCACAATAATTATCAATCATTACTCTGTTGGGGTGTCTAATAAATAGTCAAATTAGCATTTAATTATTGATTCCTGTTATTGTGTAGAGTATCTTGATGGAAACACGTTTTTATTGAAACTTAAAAAGTCTTAACATGACATGAATACCTCAAAACCGAATAGTGTTATTACCTAAAAATTCCAATGCACAATTTTTGATTAAAAACATCAGTTATTGTAGGACATTGTGTTAAACAAAAATCTACAATAGGTTTTAGGTATTATATTATACAACATTAAAATGTGAATAAAGACCATTGATTAAGTTAAAACGATTTTTAAAAAAAAGTGAAAATTATTTATATGCAAAATTAAAATAAAAAAGTCTTGCATATTGAATATACAGGGTGATTATTGTATCACGGGTCACTCAATATCTCACAGGGTTTAATAAGAAATTAAAATTTTTTTTGTACAATGTGATCTCAATTTTTCACAACTTTTTTTGTTTTTACCCCCCCCCCCCCCAAACTTTTTTGATAGCAACTTTTGAAACCTAAATGGCAACGCATATACTTCATTAACTTTTTAAATTTAGAATAATGTACTACAAATTTTGACTGGTTGAAAACCAGTTTCGGATAATAAGTTATAAGAGTTTAAAGTTATGTTGGGAGGGGAAGTGAGTATATATATATATATATATAGGGTCAGGGTCTTATCTGACGACAAACGAACAAATTATATAAGCATGTTAGAGTTGCTGCATCCCTTTCGATGCTCCTGCTCGTTGATTAAAAATATTTCATTGTTGTTTCTATGCAAAAAAGAACGCAAAGACTAGCTTCATATTAGCAGATAGTATGCAATTGGGGATTGTTAAACAGGATTAATAAACATTCCAGAGATCATGACCCGATTTAAGTAATTTCCGAATCTGCCCACGTGACCGATATTTTTTCATAATTTAAAAGTTAAAACTTTTCTGATCAGAATCAAAATCCCTGATTTCAATTTATTTTGTAACGACCAAAATACATATTTACGGCGATATTAACAAACAATTATCTGCTGTGCCGTTTCGGCATTGCATAACAAAGCGAACGACCTAAATAAAGAATGTTTTTTTGTACAACTAAAAAAGATCAAAGTGTAACAATTATTAATAGCCGTGGGTAGTCAATTTATATACTTACTTTTGACGAAAAAACTATATAACATATAAAGACACCAAGTCGATATTCTGAACCGTTTTTTCGTTATATTTAAACAGATTTTAAGCTGTTATGTTTTTCAAATAAAAGTGAATAAAAAATAAAATAAAACATTTAGAGATACAAAGATCGTAAAAACAAGGACAAAAAATTAAAAAATCCACTTTTATTTCCGATAGCTTATATTAATATGTTTTTGTTTAATTAAAAAAATATACGTACTAATTATAATTTATCCTCAATTGTAAATATTTTTATGCCTATTGCAAATTCAGTGAAACTAGATTTATTTTCTTGTAGTATAAGTGACATTAAGTCAACATTTAGTGTGTAGTTGTAAAAATGTTTTTGTTAGTTTGTAAGTTTTTCCTATACTGTTCTTTTTGTCGGTAATTCTGTAATAATATATATTAAAATAAAATTATTAATTCCGTAAATAAATAAATATGTATCATACAAAATACATAAATATAAAATATGTATAATGAAAAAGAAACATGATAATTTCGCAGCTGTTCCAAAACGGACAACAATTTTTTGTCGTTCTTTAAACTCGCTCGTATGCCTGTAAACATTATAAAAAAAAATAAGTAAATATGACGTGTCTTTGGACGACATTATATTATTTAGCTTTAATAAAAAAGAAAATTGCACAGCAGCAGCTGTTATAACTTTTGTTGGGTCCTTGGACGAGTTGTTCTTAATTTATATTTTAATCCTGTAATTTCTTAATGCATGTTTCCTCTGTATATTTTCAACGAAAGCGGCATTTATCGTTGGGTTTTACTGTTTTGTTTTATTTTTTTTTGGTTTTTAGTGTACACGTATAACATATTGGAACGGAATTTAATTACTGCCGCATTCGTTGTATTATGACATTACTTAGGAAAAAGAGTATAATAAGGTATATAATATTATAATATACTGTATCATGGTATGCACCGTATAATACATGAATACGTATAAAAGTTGGTGTTCAGTAAAACATTTGGGCTGAGAAAGGGTTCAGGAGGTTGTAAAATAAAATTGTCGATTTTATGACTCTCTTTGAACATGTTATATTTTGTTACTTTCCTTTTTTTCGGAATTCAGTACAAGCGCGCTGTTATGGTTGTTGTATAATTATTAATTATTATCAATTAGTAATCGCAGCCGGCGCGGCGATGATAAGTAGTTCACTTAGTTGACGACGACCACACCTGTTTCGATTAAAAAGCGATCATTTAAACTACCTCGAAAATGTTTACCGCCAAATAGTACAATATTGTAGTCACAATTACAATTAATAATAATAATCATTATTATTAATATTACAATTAAATAAATCACTATCGTTCCGAGGACAAACTAGTTAACATATTTTTAGATTTATCGAGGAAAAAATTGCTTTTAAAAAGACATTACCATACATGTTATAAAAACTAGACAACTGGCCAAGTCGACTATTAAAAGATTTACAATGCAACTACTAGTTTTGACGTGGCGTCATCTTCAGTCATGTTTGTTATTAAAAAATGGAAACACATAATATTTTACTTAATGCACACATGTATAAATTCAACAAAAATATACGTAATCAGTGATTACAGCGAAAAATATCTTAAAAAATTGACTTAAATTTTATAGCAAAGACACAATTTATTATCACTTTAAAAAAAATATTTTACTTAATACTGCATTTATTTGAAATATATCTTTACCAATAGGATACTAAAGACCAAAAAAATATCAATATTTCTTTATACAGAAAGGGAGTTGAAACTTCTTCTTTATTTGTTTTTTTTCTTTTTGTAGTACTTATTGTTGGACTCAAAGTCTAAAAATTGGACTGGCGGTAAAATATTAACAAAAAAAGTGACAATATGATATTAAATATATTTGTCACCTATATTACAGAGTATAATATGACTTTTTTATTATTAAATTCCTTTTGTGATTACAAATTATAACACATTATATGACTTGTATAATAATATTTATGTTTAATCGAAACTCTCACTAAAGAGTTTCTTTTTTTTTTTTGTACATAATTTTGTCACTTTTAACAGTTATAAAAATTCAAAAAACTTGTGACCTCCTCTACCCCATTGCGTTTTATATTAAAAGCAACTGTGACATAGTTATGATTATTTTTTAATAATATATTTATAAACGTAAAACTTTTTCATCTATTTATATTTCACGTCTTCATGCCCTTTTTGGAAAGTCACAAAAAATTCCTACTTTATGAATTTTCCTACTTTTCAAAATCTTTAAAAAAAAATAATTCTGAAATTAAAACGTTAAGGAATATTGTTAAAAAATACATATTACGTGTCGTAATTATATTATTCTATTTAAACAATTTAATGTCATTTTCAAGTTTTTGAGTAATTTTTGATCATTACATGATTTTTAATCATAAATTACTCTCTGAAGAGCAAGTAACGCATGCTATACGGCTCTACTTTTAGATTAGAACATTAAAAAAAAGATTTCAGGCTTGTGTCAACTATTCATGATAAAATCTCAATGTAATAAAAAAGCTACGCGTTTAAAACTAAGTAGTTTGCACGTTAGTGGTTCATTATGTAATTATAAACAAGATTATGTTTTACTATATTTAATAGCTGTTAAGAAAACAAGTTTATGTACAATACACATTATATAGGTATAAAAATAATAAGTAACAATATTCATATAAAATTAGTACTATAGTTTTGAGATTACTTCATATCTTTTGAACGACTAATTGGTATTTAATTAAAAACAATATATTTTATTAATAATTACAATTGATGTTTCTAAAATTAGAGAAAAGTATAGTATAATTTATATTGATACTAAACTGTGTTTTTTCTTTTACTTAACATTGTTGAATAGAGTTTAAAAACGTCGCCTGTTTTAAAACGAGTACTTACTTTACATAATGTCAAATATGTTAATTAAGTATTATATAATTATACAAAAATGGTATGGCAATATCAAACCTTTATAAAAAACACACATAAAAAGCTTTATAAAACCCGGAAGATTTGAATTATTTTACGTTATGGATTTTCATTAATCATTATAGAGAAAATGTATTCGTATAGGTAAAATAAATTATAGTCAATAATATAAGTAGTTGAAATATAAATAAAGTGAATTTCGGTTTTTGTTATCAACTGCGAAAAAATTGTGATGAAACTAAACGGTTGCTCATGGAAACTCAATGTTATAAAAAACCATTACTCACCATTATTAGGTATTAGTAATATTAATTTTAATGATTTAATAAAACGTGTTTATGATTTTATCTTAAGAATTTCGTGATAATTATTTTCTGAGTAACAGTTAGTAAATTTACCATACACAAGTGAAATCAATTAAACAAATGAATAACTGAAAAATATGTCTACGATTCGATAGTTTTGTTTATTATATTATACA